ACTTTGCGCACAGGCTTGCGCGGACTCCGCGATCGCGGTAGATGTTCAGACGATGACCCTTTGCTGTCTAGGTTGAGCTCCATAATTGGGATCGAATCGATATCGAGCTCGTTGTTCTCCCTGTTGCCATCTCGCACTATCCTACTCAGTGGTGTGACTGCGCCGCTGCCCTTATCCGCTTCGGGGTCGATGTAGAATGGGTCATCTTTGTAGCGTTCTTTCCTTTCAGCTTTCCGACGCGCAATGATATCAGCGTCCAGATATTCATCCTCCGCTGCGTTTTGGTATGATGTAGGTTCTTTATGCGGGGCATCTAGGCGATCCGCAGCCGGTGTAGCAACAGCAGGAGGCTCTGAGTACGCGGCTGCAGGCTCCGAATAAGCCGCATATACATCATCTTCCTCTGTCTCAAAGCCTTCTGCATCAGCTGTGTAGAGCAAATGCTGTAGGTTGGGGTTGATTGGTGTATCCAGATCCAGATCTTCAGGTAAAGGAACCTTGCGTTGAGCACCAGGAGCGACCGGGTTAAGCTCAGCGCCAGAAAAGAGGGCAGGTATAGCTTGGGTAAGTAGTAGAGGTGGATCGGTGAATGCGTCCTGGTCCGCGCTAGCAGCTGTGCCTGATGCAGCTTCTGCAGCGAGACGCATGAGTTCAAGGTACTCAACTGCCCGTTCCTGGACTTCCAGACTAGGGTGTGTGGAGAGCGGCTCTAAAAAGTGGATAATACGTGCCATGAGAAGGGACATGAGCGTTTTGCGCTCTGGAGTCCATGAGACTTGATCGTTTCCAGCCATGCTAGAGAAGACCTTGGGTATCGCTTGCAGATATACAGCGAGCGTCCTCGAAGATAGTTGGAGAGAAGATGGGTGTAGCAGAGAGGTCATGACTGGCTCCGGGCGAGTGAGGTAGTTGGCGTACTCTCCAACTAGCCAGCCAGCGTATTCCAGTACACCTTGGCCGCCGTTTCCGGATGCTGGGAACATCTGGTCTCTCCGATCAACGAGCACGAGCGATTGTGCGGCATCTATAGCTTCCGATCGAACACTCTTCACCCGAATGGCAACGTTCTGTAGTTCGTGTCCGATGCCACCACCAATGTCGTCTGAATGTTCTATTTCTTCCTCCTCTTCCATAACCGAGGTTGCTTTTGTTGCTGGTGATACCCTGACTAGCTGAGTAAGTACATCAATGTACCATTCGAAGTCGGCAATGTTGCTATAAGTATCGCGTGAGCACATCTCCAGGATCCTCCGAATGACGCTTATCCTGTAGTCGTCTGGCAGTGGCGGCGGCTGGTCGGATTTCTGTTCGTGCTGAGGCAGATTCTCTTCTGCGTCGGAGTCGTCGTCACCATAAGGTGATATGCCAGTCAGCCTACCTCTGTCGTTGTTGGGATCGCTCGCCGCTGAGGCAATTGGTGCATTTCGTAGCTGTCGCATCAGCCGTCCAACAATCGCTGTAAGGTTGTCTGCATTGACCATGCCAACCACCAGATCCAAAGCACGCATTCGTATCGAGATATCGGGGTCGTCTATGCATTCGAGGATGACGTCTTGCTGCTGGGAAACCAAGTATGGATGTGAGGTGACGATCTTCTCGAACGCGAGTAGTGCGACATATTTTACTGCAGATTGATGAGAAGCCAAACGTTGAATAACAGTGTATATTAGCTTACAGTTTGCATCTCCCTCTATGATCATCATGCCGCGTAGTTTGCCAACACATAGCTTTGCTACCTCCTCACCTTCCGCAGTGCCTTCTACGGCTTCTAGGATACCACCCTGGATGATACCACTGATACATTCGTAAAGTAACGACATAGCAGACGTCTCCCGTATAATCTTGGTCAACGGAGGTAGCAGTTTCTTGATGAGTCGGGGTTCTAATGGGGTTAATGTTGCAAACTAAGGCTGGTCAGTTCAAGTTCTGGTTTAATGTCCTCTGAGCTCAGTGCTTACAAGTTTGATGAGCTTGATGGCCATCCAATTGTTGCCTCCTTCTACTAAGAGATCAAATAGTCTCGGTGCAAGCGGTAGGAAGTCCTGTGGTCTCCTCCATCCCAGCTCGCACACGACGTTGACGATTGCCGCTGTGACGCTCGCATCCTCATTGTCATCTAACAAGCGCTCCTTGATCTTAGGCCATGCGGGTCGCAGTGTCTCTGGATACACAAGAGCCAGCCGGTATAGTGTTACGACGGTCTTCTTCCGGACCATTGCGTGCGAATGCGTCAGCCGCGGTATTAGGTCGGAGAGGACCGAGTTGGCCATGCTCGGGTTTATGACGTGTGGTATGGCGCCTAGCGGGAGGGCGATGTACTGGGGACTCGAGCTCATAATGTCCTTCTTGAGCTGGTTCTCGGCGAGCACGAGGACTTCGGTATCCCGTCGAAAGCTCTGTACCGCGGCCAGGTAACCCGTGCGCTTCTGCTTGAACTTGGAGCTTGACATGACCTCGAGGACGTTGAAGCTGGCCCAAGACATGTCGTGGCCGAACATCTCGAGGTACGTGAGCTTCATGAGGGCCGTGGCCTTGAGGTCCATGTCGTTGGTGCGTATTTCCTTGCGACATTCTTTTATGCTCTCGGCGATGTACTCGCGCTCGCTGCCTTTGTGGTTTCGGAGGCCCCGAATGAGGTCGAAGAGAGATTTCTCGAACCTAGGGGACTGTTAGTCACGACACTTGTATTGGAGATTTGGCGAGCGTTGCATTTTGGCGTGGCTCAGGCAGCGTCACGCAGTCGTGTGTCGAGGTGTGCAAGCGCGCGAGGAGGGGTAGGTGTGCAGCGTGAGGGTGAAGGTGGTGGGCGACTAGGCATCATCATTGGGAGGCGGTCGTCATGGCAGGCATGTTTGGCGACATGAAAGCGGGCTCTAGTCGGTCGTCTGCAGGGAAAGCGACTGCTTGTCGGGTCGAGGCTGTTGACGTGCACCTGGAGTCCAGAGGCTCCACTACCGAACGCCCGCTAGTTTCGCCGGCGGAAGCTTGGGACAGGCATCCCCATCAGCTTACCTAACTCGACATGCTTCTCCAGACACTCTGTCGCCATTGACACGCACCCGACACCCCAAGTCGACGCCCGCAGCCGCCAGCATGACACAAGCCAACCTCCTCTCTCCACCCGCGCAAATACCACCGCCCACCGCCCTCGCCCTGTCCCAAAAAGCCCCCCTCGTCCTCTCCACAACACCAACGTCGACGCTCCCGTGGCCCCTCTCGCTGCTCTTCTCCCGCGAGACACCCGAAACATGGACCATCCACGAGAACCTCTTCCTCTCGACACTCCGCACGGGCGATGAGAATGCCGCCCTGTCAATTCTGCAGCGCCTCGAGGCCCGATTCGGCGACCACAACGAGCGCATCATCACATTGCGCGGCATCTACAACGAAGCAACGGCCCGGTCAGACGCCGAGCTGGAGAAAGTGTTCGAGGCGTATGAGAAGATACTCCGCGACGACCCCACCAACATGAGCATCCGGAAGCGGAGGGTTGCCGTGCTCAAGGCGCTGGGCAGGACCGCCGATGCCATCACCGCCGTGGCCGTGCTCCTGAAGAACAGCCCCACCGACTCCGAGGCATGGGCAGAGGCGAGCGAGCTGTATGCGAGCCAGGCAGCGTGGGGACAGGCGATATACTGCGCAGAGGAGGTTCTGCTCATCACGCCGAATGCATGGAGTGTGAGTACCACAGCGCCCCGACGATGCCATACGTGTACTAACCCGCGCCCAGGCACATGCACACATTGCGACCCTACACTACCTCTCCACAGCCTCCAACAACCCACCCAGCCTCAGCTCCCTCGCCCTCTCACTAAAGCACTTCTGCCGCTCCGTCGAGCTCAACGACGCCTACCTCCGCGGCTACTACGGCCTCAAGCTCCTCACCACAAAGCTCAATGCCATACTCTCCGACTCCGACTCAGCAGCCAAGCGCAACACACAAGAAGACGATGACGTCCCCGTCCCCAACGCCCAAACCGTCAAGAAGCTCGAGGAAATCGCTACAAACAAGCTCGCAGAAATCATAAGGCAATACAAGTCAGGAAACAAGGCCTGGCAAGGCTACGACGAGGCCGAGATTATTGCTGCGCGGGAGCTGTTAGACAGAGACGGCAAGACGGAGCGGTGAGGGACTGCATCTGCAGCAAGTGACTGAAATCGTCATGAAACGGGGCGTTTTGGGCGTCTTTGGTGTAGACACGTGGAATACGTTCCTGGACAAAGTGTTTCCAGCACAGTTGCTAGATACCATTCCAAGTGACTTATTAATCAATCATCAACAAATCATAATGCAAACACCAAGAACAATCACGAGTGCACATGTGTAGCCAGAGATGGAGTGAAGATTGTGCATACAAAGACGCTTAGCAAAGGGTATATATCCATAATTATTATTACGAGAAGAAGCCCGTCAGCTCCCTCTCAAGCTCAATTCCCTCGTATGCCCTTTCCCGCTATCTTCGTCCCTGACCATGTTCGACGCTCCGAAAAAACAACACCGGACCCTTTCATGCAGATCAGAAGAACAAAGATAGATGGATCATTTCCCAATTTACCCCACACCACAAATGCCCTAATGTGGATATATCTGCCGTCGATGCCACATGCTAGATAAGACAGCCTAGCGGAGCCGAAAAGAAGAAGAGATAAGAAAAGAATAAGAAGAAAAAGGTAAAACAACGCCTAGAGCTGTTGCAACATGTATGTTTTCCTTCAGTTCAACAGAAACAAAAACGCCACCTGTAAATGCCGGTAAATGAAAAGAGAAATACAAGAATCTTGGCCATTGGCCATGTTAAATCGCTTCCATATATCTTCAAGAAAGTGGTGGTGGAATGGGAGGAGGAGGAAAGAACAATTAACGGGACTCGTTTCTTCTTGTTGTTTTTCTTTCCCTGGAACCATGATATCCGTTGTACGCGGGCGTTTCTAATGTAATGCGTTTGTAGGTGCGATGAGAAAAAGGTTCGTGTATGCGTCGCGAATGTGCGTAACAACACCTAGATGTTGAGACCGCGAGTGAGATCTTCAAGTCCGGAGCTGTTGTTCTCCTTGCCCTTGGAGTGCTTGTTCTTGCGTGCAGCCATCTTGCCCCAGTCTTCGTCCGCGTCGTCCGTCTCAGCGGGGGCCATCATTTGCGGGCCGGGGCTACCCTTCTTCAAGATGCCCTTGATGGTGCTGGTCCTAGCCTGGTTTGCGCCGCCGCCCGAGGCTTGGAGTGTCATCGAGGTGCCGTTGGAGACGGCGTCGGAGTGGTTGACGACAGGTCGGTACCTAGCAGACAGACCAATGTTAGAACGCTCGGATGGGGCGATGGAGGGAGTGTACCCTGGATTCGGGCCCATGAACGACATGGCGCGCTGCTGCGGTTGGTTCCCGTTGCCTGACATGAAAGACATCGGTCGGTTTTGTCCGTTCGGTACATTGAGGAAACCCCCGCCTCCCATTGTACTGCCCATCGTGCTACCAGCGTAGCCGGGGTTGGGCATGGCCATCGACATCCGGGGATCTTGTTGTTGGGGCTGCTGCTGCATCATCTGTAGCTGCATTTGCTGCATGGCGATCATCTGCTGCATTTGTTGCATCTGCTGCATCTGCTGCATGTAGTCGTTCCCTTGCTGCATAGGGTATCCCATCTGTCCCATGCCCATTCCCTGCATTTGCCCACCCATCATGGGGTTCATCATGGGGTTCATGCCGTTCATCATGGGCATGTGTGACATCCGCATCGGGTTCTGAGGTTGGCCGTTCGTGTTCATTTGCTGTCCGAGAACACCAGTGAAAGGCCCTCCCTGGGGCTTTTTCGCCGAAGCACCGCCCATGTACTTTTGCTTGGTCATATCCCTCATCTGGATCTGGTCCACGAGCGAAGGCTGCGACATACCAGCATCCTGATACATCATGTTAGGGCCCATGCCCATGTCTCCAGCAATCGAGCCGCCTGCGACTGATCCAGGACCACGCGCAAAGCCATTGAAGCCCATGGACTCTCGGTTCGTCGGCCGTACCAAGCCTCCTCCAATGAAAGAGGAGTTGTACGGATCCTGGGGCAGATGTCTCGCGAAAGCAGGCAGATTGCCTTGGCCCATGCCGCGTTGACTCATGGCACCTGCTGAGGCCGGGCGATCGGGTATGTAGGAAGGCATCGAGTTCGTCGGTTGACTGGGGAATCTGTTGCGAGCTTGACTTGGGAAGCCGTGTTGAGCGAGAATACCCAGCGGTACATCCTCATCTTCCCATTCTTCGGCCTTCATGGAAGTTTCCGACGGGAAGCCCATGTGATCTGCTCCCGGCTCTGCAAGACCCCCAGGAGCTGTGGTAGACCGTCGCATAGCCTCGCGGGCAAAGTGCATCTGCTGATTCTTGCGTCTCATGAGCTCTTCTTCTTCTCTTCTTTTGATAGCATCCTCCTCGTCCTCGTAGTCTTCGTCGTCGGAGCTTTCCTCAGGTGGTGGCTTGTTCATTTGCTTCTTTTGATATTCCCGGAATTCGGCCTGCGACATTACTCTCCTACCGGCCGCTGTAGCAGGGACGGATGCAGTGTTGCTGTCTGAGGCTACTACGGCAGGTTTCTTTGCTGTCGTGATTTGTTGCTTGGGAGCAGGCTTTGACGGCGCGAACAAGTCTTCGTCCTCAGCATCATTGTATGGAGAGGCCGTCCGAGCGAGGGAAGCTTTGGGGGTTGTGTTTGTGGTCGTGCTCGAAACAGTGGCTGATCGAGATGAATAGGGGGTCTGGTAGGAATTGGCAGACGACGTTGAGGTGGAGTTGAGCTGTTGTTCCGGAGAGCTTTCACGATATGACTTCCTATCGGTATATGATTTGCGTACGAACTGTGCATCTGCATCTTCGAAAGTAGGTGCTGGTTGGAAGGTTGGGCTCTCTGAGGCGACTGGCGCATACGATGAGTATTTGTGGGGAGGCGGCGGCGGCGGCGGCGAGTCGTTGTCTGAATTCGGAGAAGCCATGAGGTTGTCGGTAGAGTTGCGACTGTCCCAGCTCTTCATTGGCGGTTCAATGCCAGTGGGCGGTAGAATCTTGATGGGTTCTGCTTGGAACGTGCGCTTCTCCGAAAGCAGTGAGCGTCCTGCGGTCTCTCGTTGAATTTCGGGAGATTCCTTGCGGCTTAAATGGCCAAACATGTCGTCCTCAAAGCCGCCGAAGTTCAGATCCCCCTCGAGCTTGGGCGGGACTGCAGTGCTCGCGTAGCTGGATGTGGTCATGGCGCGATTTCTGCCACTCCACCCTGTCCCTGACAGATCCTTGTATGAGGAGACGCCGGAGCTTGACTTGGGCAATGAGGGAAGATTCTTGCGGAAAGCGCTCACCGACGACGGAGCCGGAGAGCTGTTGTGTTGTGAGACGGCCGGTCGAGGGATATTAGTAAAGAGGTTGTCGTCGGAGCTGGTGTCGGTGGAAGAAGGAAGTGTAGAGGTGGAGCCATGTTGGCCATTGGCGTAGGGTCTCGAATTGGAAAATTGAGTCCCACTGCTTGACTTGCTGTCGCTAATTAAAGGGTCAGTCCGGCCGACGCTATGACTAGTGGATACGAAGCTTACCGTTTTGACGATCCTGGAGACTCATCGTCAACGGACTGGTTGCGATTTTTGCTGCCAGGATGGCTGAAGCCGCTGAAGCGAGGAAACTTTGATGATCTCTCTTTTTCCTGTGTCTTGCGCTGCTCTTTTGCTTTTTCTACTTCCGTCTTGCTCAGCACCCGGAAGGCACCAGAATCAGCGGGTGCAGTTGTGGTGACTGGGCTCGTTGCGATGTCGACTTCGTCGAACACATTGCCCTGAGACTTCCGACGGGCGGTGAATATCCCTAGGCCTGGCTTGCCCATGTTGATGAGTTGTGGTTTCCAAGTACGAGAAGCGACCAATGCCTCGGGCGGCCTATTCTGATGTGAGATGCGCTATCATATACTCCAAGACGGGCGATGCGTGGCGGTTGTGGTCGAGGAAGGAGCGACGGGTGCGGTCAGGAAGGAGCCAAACGTGGGGATGGGCAGGTAACGAATGGACGACTTGATCTAAACGTCTGGTATTAGCTCTGATTTGCGTGCCACTGGCGATGCAGGGTGCTGGCGCAGTGTCGAGAGATGAGGTGAGCGGGCGCGGCGGGTGTTGCTGTGAGAGCTGAGTCGGGAGCGTCGTTGAGGGCAACTTCGTATTACCGCGTTTCAACGTCAGGGCCGTGTCGATCTAGCCGCGTATTGATAATATTATGCGCCTCGAGGGATTCGCTTGCAGCACGCGGGGGCAGGAAAGCTCGTCGTGGCAAGATGCGCCTCTGCCACTTTCCAGCGCATCGCCTGGGCCGCTTGTTGGTTTCGAGTGCGGCGTTGCTCAATCCTTCCGGGGCCCGGGAGTTGGGTGGGTTGGGTGTGCGACTTACCAGACACGAGGCGGGTAGCAGCAGCAGCACCTGTTCAACGAGTGACAATGTCTAATTGCAGACGGCGGAGACGCGATGATGTAGTCGGAGGGCACGCGCGGAGAAAACGGCGGGATCATGAACGAGTATAAGGGCGCGCACGGATGGCACAAAGCGTAGTCAGGAGTGCGCCGTCCCATCATCTTCACTCGACTGCCCACTGCCCTCTCGCTCGGCCGGGCCTGCATCTGCCTAGGTACCGAACCAATGGCATCCTCCCGCAGTAGGCATAGCGCCAAATCGAGCGGCCATGAACTGCCATGTTGGGTTTTGCCATGTACAATTGCGTTTTGACGGCCATTGAAGTTTGCCCACGGCGCGCCAAACGCTGGTACGATTCATGCTGTCTTGCACGTAGCTGCGAGGCTGCCGTGCAGCTTCACACATAAGCCCTACTACCTGTTGAGTCGACGGCTGCAAACTGCTGGTCGAGGGTGCTGGTACAGTAGTGTAGCCTCCTAGTCCGACCACCATCCATGTCCGGGACCCTCATGCCAAAATTAGATGGCTAGGCCAAGAGAACTCATCAACCATGGTCTTTCTAGGGCCGCACGCTCGTTGCTCGCTACCTGATAACAACGCCTGATCGACAGTATCGACGCGCAGTCCGGTCGACGTCATCAACACTTGCCATGTGCAAATTCTCACTGCGCCTGGTGTTTCGGCCCTGGACACAAGACCCTTCGTATTACACTGCTCCACAGCATAACGGACCCTCTCGGACCATGCCCGCGGTCGGCGCGATACCGTCGAGCCAAAATTACAACCAGCCCACATGTGTCTAGCGGCCCTGTTCCATAGGCACCGTGGAAGCTTGAATGGCTGTGAGTCGAGCCACAAGCCAGGGCTGTCGTTGCTTGTGATTACTGCACGCCAGGATATGTGATGCTCCATTCAGCCTGCAGACTCCGAGATGACACTTCTGCGAGACGAGACGCTTCGCCGCCCGGGCACTTCTCTTGCTCGTGCCTAACATGCAGCTGCCTGCAGGCTCGCTACCCGGTGCGAAAACATCGCCCAAGCCCGCGCGCTTGCTCTAAACCCTGCTGGATTCCCGTCTTAACGATATCTAGCTAAGAGAAGAAAGCCTGTTTACACTTCACATTCACTGCGCGCATTTGTTGTTGGGCGCACAAATTGCTTTGGATGATTTCCCTCCCAGATCGATCTCAGGAGGCTGCTGGTGGCTTGCCAATGTTGCCATGATGAGAGCACAGACGCTGCCGGGCAGGCCGCTACTGCATATTTCTCCTTATGGCTACACGCATGCAAGCCAATACCAACCTCGCTGATCTGGAGGGAAGCGTTCAGTTCGTGAACTGCGACCACCTCTCTCCACCGCTCTGGCAGCACGTCATGATTACCATTATTTTGCGGCCCTTTTTTGAGGCAAAGCACTCCGAGCTGTTGCCGGGTCTGTAACGCGTCTCGTCGAGAGAGTTTTTCTTGTTCCAATCGTACGATTTGCTGCGCTTCTGCAGCTGCATGGGCTGAACGCGGCTCGCCAGCTTCCCGGGCGCTCGCTGTTGGCTTGCACCCTAGAGTCGTGTTCGACGAAGCGCTGCAGCATTACTGCGGGACATGACGCCGTCTCTTTTAGCTCTCCCGCCCCTCATTAATTCCAACCTCTCGTTTGCTTCAATTTCAACGTTCTGTTCACCCCGCCTGCGAACGCGTAATCGTGTACGGGTCATCTAAGAAAATCTGGGGGTCGGTCAGCTAGCCTCACCCTACTTGCGTCTCAACACGTTCGATCGATCTGCGCTCGGCTCTCACTGTCAGCTCGGCTCCTGGAGATCAGCCGACCCAAATTGGTTGGCATTCGCTCATATTGCATGTGTTCCCAGCTGGTGACAAAACCTTTTGTTAACTGTACACAGTGTTCATTGTCGGTGCCTTGTTTCTGAACTCGCGCGGTAAGTAGCAAGCAGGACCTGCCGGCTTTTCAATTTCGCTTTGTTCACATTGCTATCACGACTCCTTGTCTTAGCATCCTCAATGCCAAGACGTCGCAACAGGATTCCGGAAGGTCCAATGAAGGAATTTCGGCGAGACCGTTACATCCTCGATAGTCTTCTGTTATGACCGCGTCAACTTTGCAGCGAGTCTCGGGCATTTTGCTTCTTTGCTGTCGGCTTCACCTAGTTTGCTTTGTTTTCCGTTTCTAGTCTGTTGCCATCCGCCCGGTACCGTGTGGAGACGGGACAGAACACCCATGCAAGAGACGTCTCTGCGTACGGTCATGAGCCTCGATAGCGGCGTATGTCCGGGCTAGGACCATGGTCGCATCTGACAGGTCTGGTGAATGTAACGGCCGTGTATCGGAAGACGACAGCATTCTTCTGCTCGAATGGGCGCACACAAGGCGACTGTGTAGATGCCGTACTGATCACACCTGCGGTACTTTAGTTTTGACGCAGGGTAATGCTAAGAGCTCACGCCCCGTTACGTCGATCGAGATGAGCAGGTGGGATCAGGTTTTTTATGTCGGAGAACATCTGTCGCTGAGAAAGAGTATGGGTGGCACTAGGAGAAAAGGTGCTGGTGAAGACAGGTAGCTTGAGTGTGCTCTAAGGGCAGGCGCGCTACGACTGAGTGCAGCTTCCCAAATGTCTGCACCAAGGCTACCGCGGACGCACCGAAGCGCATGGACGCTCGAAAGGGTCCAATGACGCAACTGCGTAAACAGTGACAACGTTCACTCTAACCCCAACACTGCAGTTGCAATTGCTTCTTCTCGTCTGGTAGTCCGACCCCCACACTTCACTGGCGCTACTCCACGACTTTCCTCTTACATCGGCGGCAATACCAGCAATCAGGCCTCAGCAGAACGTAGGAAAAACAAAGCCTGGTCAGCTTCCGCGCAACATGCCGACTGGGTTCCTCGATCTTCCGCCCGAGCTCCGCAACGAGGTGTACAATATTCTTTAGGAGGATACACCCTCGCCAACCTAGGAAAAGACTGAACAGGTCTGCGGCCTATATTAACATAGAAATCTGCACAGCAGGTGGCCTGACGTCGATGTAGGCTCTAGGCCTGTTCAGCTTTTTTCTTTTACAAGGTGCACCTGTTTTTGAGAAGTACTATGACGCCCGGAACTGTGCTGGTGGGACAGCACACAGTCAATGGCTCATTCATACGCGGTACGCCAACCGCCATCACATGGATACTGGAGGCAGTATTCAATCGTCTTGTTTCCCCACTTCATCCCATCACATTACAGAAGACCCGCAATGCATCCCCTCTCTCCGCAATTTGGAAGATGGACAGATATTGCGCTCATGCATGGGTCGCTAACTGCCGAACCTGGGCATATTAGCCTCATATACCGTTTCAACTGACCGGAGAGAAGGCCCCATCCACAGATAGATAGGCATGAACTTCAGCTGATAGTCATAAAAAGAGTGAAATCAACATGCTGAACCATTGAAGTAAAGTAGACTTCATATCAGCCGCACCTACTTGCAAGAATGCGCAGCCTCATCGCCACCGTAGCCATTGCCTTTGCAACACAGATCTTCGCAGCATGTACCCGCGAAGCCCTCAAATCTATCACAGACGAGTTCCTCGCTGCTCAAACTGCGGGACAAACAACCTTCCCTTCCCTTTCTAGTACCGTCGCATACACCGAAAACCGGAAGAGCGTCGACGTTAGAACTGGCATTCTCTCCAAACCTATGAAAATCGACCATGCCCGAGCCCAACACGACACAACTCAATGCGCTGCGTTCACTGAGTTTATTGTCACCAGCACCGCCGCGCCGTATGTAATCGCAACGCAACTCCGTCTCGACAACAGCACAAAAGTCTCGCAAATTGACACCATCTGGACAAGCAAAGGAGACTGGCTCTTCAACGTCACAGGCACATACTACTGGGCCACGCGCGAGAAGTGGGATCCCATCCTCGCCGCCAACCGCGATACGCGTGCTGTCATCAAAGCAGCAGGAGATGCCTACTGTGACCTCTTTAACAACAAAAGCGTCACAGTGCCCTGGGGCTCGCCGTGCGCTCGCCTCGAAGGCGGTGCGTATACGGGTAAGGGTGAGGCGACAGACAGATGCGATGTCGGTGTTCCGAGCGGTGTACCTCTGGTAAACAGGCAATATGTTATCGACGAGGAGTATGGGACTGTGGATATTATCATGGATTTTGGAGGTGTGGCAGGGCAGGTTGGGGCTGATGGGTTGCCGGATAGTCATGAGTTTAGGGTTGAAGGGGGGAAGTTGAGGTACGTGCATACGCTTTCAAGTTGTGGTGGGAAGGCGTGCATGTAGGTTTTGGAGGCATTGATGTGCGTGTGTGGGCATATGAGGGTCAGGGGCTTGGGCAATGAGCAGGATGAGGTTGAATCTTCGATGGATGTGAGAACCATGTGATCAGAGCAAAAGGGAACTTCAGCCGTA